AAAAAAAAAAAAAAAAAAAAAAAAAAAACTCCCATTACCCAATAGGAAGTGTTCATATAAGAGTACCGCAGTGACCTTCTTAGAGAGATACAGTGTGGATCCTGGGTTGGAATTACAGCAATTCTGGAGTTTTACTAATTCACCAAGAACACTTTCTAGGTTTTAAATGATAGGTTTCAGGCGGCCTTTTGACAAGAGGCTGGACTATGGGCCTAACATGCTCTAATCCCTCAGAAAGGGCTGCGGCAGCCGTTCTTGTGGGAGTGTGTGTGACGTACCTCCCAAGGATACAGGCACACTTGATTGATGTGCCAGGCTGGGTAGCTGGGGTCTGGAGCAGGTGGGAGACTTTTCATGTACACCTCTTCTAAAAATGTTTTTCTGTGATTTTCTGCCTTTATTTTCAAGCATTTACTTGGGATAATTTTCACCCTTCGATATACCTTCTCTAGTCTTTTGAGTATGGAGCCATGTGACTATAGTACCTATTCAAAATATGCAAATTTCAGGTAAAATAAATAGCACCTAGTTTTGCTATTGTCTCCTGTGTTGTGGTGGGAAAACAGTCTCTCTCTCCTTCATTGAGCAAAGGATCCTCGATTACCTGCCAAGAGCCAGACCTGTTCCAGGCATGGAAGACATGTTGCTGGGCCTTGTTTTCTTCATCTGTATTATAGGGCATCATGGTTTAAATCTGGATGTCTCCCCAAAGCCTCATGTGCTCAAAGGTGGGGCTTTCGAAGTCTGATTGGATTATCAGGTACGGCCTGTTAGGAGGTGGGGTCTGTGGGGCAGAGGCAGGTGACTGGGGGCGTGGCCTGATGAAGCGAATCTCCCTCCCTCTCCCCCTGTCTCCCTTCCGGGCTGCCATAAGGTAAGCAGCTGTCTTCTGCCAAGCCCCTGGACCATGACATCCTGCCACGGAGCCAGCCAACTACGGACTGAAGTGTGAGCCAAAATGAACCACTCCTCCTTTACTTTGTTGACACCGTGTATTGAGTCCCAGCAATGAAGAAGTGACTAAGACATGGGCAAACTAGATGACCTAAGGCCTTCAACTTGAGGTGCAGCAGACTCACCAGAGTCCCCAGGCGGTGGTCTGGGTGGGACCCAGATTAGCAGGTGTGGCAGGTGACGCTGGCACTACCAACCCAGAAACCCCACTTTGGGAACGCACCTAAGTTCCATCTAGGTCTGTGCTAATAAATAAACTACATTCCCATTCTCTGAATATCAGTGAATAAAGACAAGGTCTCTGTAGCTCAGAGCACAGAGTATTCCTTCTCTCCAGCAAGCTGAGAGGGCTTCACTAGACAAATGCATCAACAGAAACCAACAGATCTCTGCTCCATGAAATTACACAATGGTCTAAACCTGTGAGTCGCAAGATGTCATTCTTCCTGGGGAAGAGATGCTCTGTGGGGGCTTTCAAGGAAGGTTAAATAGAGAGACCTAAGCCAAGAAGGCGTTTGGAAATCACCAAGCCCAGCACCCACAGAGAGAGGAAGATGCTGCTGGGTGTCACCTAAGACCCACCACAGTTTATCCTGCCTCACAGAGGCAGCCCGTGAGTTCCTAACAAGCCCAGCAGGGACACCTGCACCCAACTTTGCAGTTGTATTCGTACTGCTGCCTGTCCCCTCCACCTCTTCGGGTCTCGCTTGTCCCTGAGGGCCGTGGTGAAATGTGGGTACTCTCCCGAAGAGCTAACATCCGCCCACCTCTTCTGGGGGTCCTTCTCTATCTCTCTCAACTCCTTGGGAAACTTGATTATTGTTTCTGCTCATTGATTGATTCATTCAACAAATATTGTCCTTTCTTTAACAAGCCCTTATTAGAGGGCCTATGAGGTAATGGGCATCATAACAGGTTCTGGAATAGAATTATAGGTTAAAAGCTGGCTCCTCCAATAGAGACTGATTCATTCATCAAATAACTGCACCGGTGGCTGTCCAATAATGACTGAGAAGAGTGATCTGAAGGAAAGGAATATGGTTGTGTAAGAAAGTAGCGAGAGGGACCTGATGTAGACTTGAGATCTGAAAGATACTCAGTACTTGGCTAGATGAAGAGGAAGTGAGGAGGGGAAAAGCTCTGCACATGGAAGAACAGCGTGTGCAAAGGTCCTGTGCTGGGAAGAAGTGTGGCCCATTCAGGAGGGAGCTCCGTGGAACAGCCTCAGGCTCGAGGGGGATGATACTGATGGGCCTTGAACACGGAGGCAGCTGGTCAGGTGCTCTGACCCTCAGGGCTGAGGGAGCCACTGGATGGGGGAGGCTGCAGAGGGGGCATCTCCTGGGACTGCGTCACAAGCCCGTAAGGAGAGAGCATTTCCAGGAGAGATGGTCACTTCTGTCCAGCGTGATTCTCATTGCTCCCCTCCCTGCTGGTCTGTGTCTTCCCTGGATGCAGCACAATCCTGCTGATTCTCAGGTTTTAAGTGCACTTGAAGCCTGTGGGATGTGGAGAGGATCTGGTGACACTCAAGACACCTTGGGAGCAGCGAGGGGACTTGGTCTCCCTGCTGTTGAAGCCCCACACCCTGGCGCCTGTGCTCTGAAGTCTCCAGTAACGTCCACTGCTCGAGTTTGCTTCAAGTTCAGGCTCCTCTCTGGCGTCTGAGGGCAGCCTCTGCCCCTCTTCCTGCTTCCTTCCAGCCGCCTTCACCCCCAGACCAGACCCTGCCTCACAACCTCCGGCCTCTTCCTCCTGCAGGAAAGAGACAGCGCCCCAGCTCAGCTTGCAAGTGGACAGTGAGACTCCAGGGGTCTCCAGACTTTACCGCTTAAAGTCCTCACTGAAAGAATTTTATAAAACTTTCTCGCTTCACCCATTTTTAGGTTTACGTCTACATTTGTTTTCCTATGTTTGCAGTAAATGTGATTTCCTATCCTAAACATTTTGTTTATTTGGTTTTTTTAATACAGTCTCACTATATCATCCAGGCTGGAATTTGCTGTGATCCTCCTGCCTCGGCCTCCTGAGTGCTAGGATTACAGGCGTGTGCTGCCACACACAGCACTATCTTTAAGTAAACTATTGGATCACTGTTTGAAATCTGTCCAGTGGAATCTCAACACCACAGCAATTCAATACCCACCATCACCCATTTTAAAAATACATGAACTCGGGCTGGGAATTTGGCTTAGTAGTTCCACTGCCTGCCTTGCAAGCACGAGGGCCCGAGTTCGATCCCCAGTACCACCCCCCCACAAAACAATGAACTCTTCTTTAATAATCCATTCTTTTTCCTCCTGGAAATAAATTTTATTTCCGTTCTCCTTTCTCCTTAGGATTAGAATCCTAATGTAATACATGTAATATATGCTTATGCTTAGAACTCCTTTTGTGTCCCTGTCGTGTTTCTGTAGAACAACTTCATATAAGATTGAAACTTTTTAAATTTTCTAGAATCATAAAGCTCAAAGTCTTAAAATTTCCCTCAGGTTAGAGTTATGACAATGATGAATAGGACACAATTATCTAAAAATACAAGCATATGCTTAATTTGGATAAGTAATTTATAAACGTAAAAGGTAAACTGATACTAAAAATGCGTGTGTTAATGAGATGGTGGAGCTGGGTGACTTTTGAAGTAAACTTTGTATTGATGTACAACACGGACACCCGTACCTGACCAGGTCACGGTGTACAGCTTGGATTATCACAGAGTGCTGGATGCCTGTGCCGTCACCACCTGGGGCTAGGAATGAAATATTGCTGGTGCTTGACTATGTCTGCAATTTGTTTACTTATCCATGTAAGAATCTCATTTATTGCTAGCACGAGACAAGAATCAGTATCCATTGTATTCCCGTTTTTCATTTATATAGATGTAAGCACGGAAGACTTTATTTACACGAATTCGATTGGAGTACAAGTTCTGTTAAAGTGGGGTCACAGTGTTCTTTGATCTCCTTCTGAGCTGTATAGAGATCTAATTTTTCTATTAGGACTTCCTAGTTTTTTTTAAAAAAATGAGAAGCTTATCTTCCAGAGAGAGAGGTTGATTCACCACTCATCTACTTCCTCCCTTGAGTTTGCAGGTGCCCACTTGTGTGGTCGCCGGTGGTGTCGTGGGAGGGGCAGGGGGGATTCTCTCTGGGTCAGTGACCCCAATTAAGATCTGGGGTGGGCTGGTGAGGGGCTTTCCTTTCCTTGTGTAAAGGATGAGGCTGATTATGCAGGAGCAGGTGTAGAAGGACAACTGGCCTCTCTTCAACCCCCTGGTTCTAGAAGGGTTTTTGTAGAAGTTGAGAATCTGGAAACTGACTCTCTTAAAACTTGAGCTGTACTTGTAGTGCTCAGAAAGTCCTCTTCCTCACCCAGAAGTCAAAGCCCGATTGGAAGCCTCTAGGTTGCCAGTCTCCAAATTCCCATCTCTCCTACTCCAACCACTTTTATTATCTGCAGACCGTTCCCCTTGGCACTCTGTTCCTGCATTTGAAATCAACACCTTTGCCGGCTCTAAGCTCCTCTGGGGGCTCCGGCCAGATGCCCAGGTCTCGATCATTTCCTGGCATCGTGTCTTATGCTTAGCGGGTACCTAGAAATGTCAGGCAAATTGTCTATCGTCAGTTTCTTCCCAACGCTCCTGGTCCTAGAATGGTGCTGAGCATTTGGTAGCGGGGTCTCAGAAGAATAGATGAATTAATCAATGAGCAAAGAGGAAAATAGCAAATCCATGTGCTAACGAGCTTCAGGGCAAAGCTTTTGCTGTAAGAGTCCGCCTTTGTGGGACTCATGAAGGGCATGGCGTGCACAGCACTGCGTTCCATTCCTTTTTATAACTGGTCATCGTAGATACAGCCACTGTCACAAAGCATCCATGTAAATGTGCCTCGCACTTTGCATCTTGTCCTGCAGGTGTGTGCAGCCTCTTCTCACCGTGGTGGTGTTTAGTCTGGACCTCAGCCCGGGAGAGGATGTAACACCCCCCGCTCTACACATGCGTGGTCCAGGCCAGCAGGAACCCCCGGCCCCAGCCACCCTCACAGCCATGTCAGCCGTGGAGTAGTGTGGACACCTCCTCTCAGCTTCTCAGGGTTTCAGTCCTTTTGGGTTTTCTTCATTTACCTTCTTTTATGGTTTTGTGGCTGGACGTTGGCAACCAAGTCAGGCACCATGGGGGATCAGCAGTTGTACAAGAGCAACCACGTGACCCACGGTGGTGAGAACCTTTTCTACCAACAGCCACCCCTGGGTGTCCACAGCGGGCTGAACCACAACTATGGGAATTCAGTCGCGGGGGGAGGAATGGATGCCCCTCAAGCTTCACCCATCTCCCCGCACTTTCCTCAAGATACTCGGGATGGTCTGAGCTTGCCCGTTAGCTCCAAAAACCTTGGCCAAATAGATACCTCGAGACAGGGAGGGTGGGGAGGCCACGCAGGGCCTGGCAACCATGTCCAGCTCCGTGGCAACCTGACCAACTCCAACGTGATGTGGGGGGCGCCGGCCCAGGTGGAGCCAGCCGATGGCTATCAGTACACCTACTCCCAGGCCAGCGAGATCCGGACCCAGAAGCTCACCAGCGGCGTATTACACAAGCTGGACTCCTTCACCCAGGTGTTTGCCAACCAAAACCTGCGAATCCAGGTCAACAACATGGCCCAGGTGCTGCACACCCAGTCGGCAGTGATGGACGGAAACCCTGACAGTGCCCTCCGCCAGCTGCTGTCTCAGAAGCCCATGGAGCCCCCGGCACCGGCGCTGCCCTCCCGCTACCAGCAGGTGCCGCAGCAGCCTCTCCCGGGTTTCACCGGTGAGCTGTCGAAGCCAACCCTGCAGGTCGGGCAGCACCCTGCCCAGGGGCACCTGTACTACGACTACCAGCAGCCCCTGGCCCAGATGCCGATGCAGGGAGGGCAGCCGCTGCAGGGCCCCCCAGTGCTGTCCCAGTCCGTGCCACAGATGCAGCACCAGTATTATCCACAGCAGCCACAGCAGCAAGCAGGGCAGCAGCGTCTCTCCGTGCAGGAAATGCAGCCGCAGGTTCCGCAGCAGCAGACCCGCCCGCCTCAGCCTCAGCCTCAGCCGCCACCACGGCAAGGTCCGATGCAGATACCTCAGTATTATCAGCCCCAGCCCATGATGCAGCACTTGCAAGAGCAGCAGCAGCCATCGATGCACCTGCAGCCCCCATCTTATCACAGGGACCCCTACCAGTACACCCCGGAGCAGGCGCACACTGTCCAGCTGATTCAGCTGGGCCCCATGGCCCCCTACTACTACCAGGAGCCCCAGCAGCCCTACGGCCACCCCCTCTACCAGCAGAGCCACCTGCCCCAGCACCAGCCGCGTGAAGACAGTCAGCTGAAGACTTACTCCAGCGACAGGCAGGCCCCAGCCCTGCTGAGCTCCCACGGGGACCTGGCACCTCCTGACACGGGAATAGGAGACCCGGCCGGCTCGGACCTGACCCGGGTTGGCAATGCCCTCCCGCACCGCCCTCTCCTGTCCCCCTCGAGCGGGATCCACCTCAACAGCACGGGCACTCCGCACCCGCAGCCGTCTCCCGGTGCCATGTGGCCTCAGGTATCCTCCCTGTGCTGTTTCTCCCCGGGCTCTGGGTGCGGCGGGGCCAATCCTACTCCTTCCCCCGACCGCCTTCAAGCGCTCGCAAATGCTAAGCTACCAGAGCCAGCCACTGTGCCAGGCGCCTGGATGTCAGAATCAACTTTGATTCAGTCCTTTGCCCAAGGAGCTAACGGTCTCAGGAAGGAAACGGTCAAAGGCTGTGTCCTGTCCCGAAGTGAGTCCCGTAACGATCCAGATCTGGAGTCAGATAGCAGGGAACCCCACAGTTAGGTGGGCTCCTCACACTCCTGCCTGTTGGATCTGTTCTCAGGGTATTTCCTGGGAGATGGGTTTCCCTTTGGGGCTGTTATGACAGGCTTTCTCAAAGCATATTGCCCTGAACAGCAGGTCTGCAAAATATTAACGATACTGCCGAGAGGCTGCAGGTTCTGCATAAATCTGGAAATTCTTAAAGCGGACCCTGTGGGCCTTTAATAGGCCAGTGTGCATTGTGAATGCCCCGAAGGGGGTGGTGCCGCAGAATCCAGGCTGCAAAGTGGATTAGAAGGGTCCGGTACGAGGTGAGAGGGGTGGTGGAGACTGCAGACAGGACAGCGGGGCCCCATTGCATCCAAGATGTTTCAAATCAATCCCGCCAGACAAGACATGACCGCCAGCCCCACTGACCCTGTGGTGTGCGGTTATGAACCCTTGACTGTTTCCCCCAATGTGTTTGGCCGGGGACGAGCCTACTGCAGTCTGTGCTGGGTACGGTTCTTACCTCGGCATGGTCAGGTACCACGCTCGTGTGACAGCGGGGCTTCGGGCGCGGGGACCTGAAACTAGAAGCAGATAGTGGAGGCACTAGTGGAGCTCAGGGCTGCAGGAGAACCGCGTTTTCTGTGTCTGGAGCACAGACACACTAGTGACCGAGAGCCTTTGTGAAGGTACGAGCGAGCTGGCGGGGTGAGGGGTCACCGAGCAGTCCGCTCCATGTCCCGTGTGGGGACAGAGCCTGTCTGTGCAGAGTGGGTGTGCCCGGAGAACAAGAGGGAGAGGTGGGAGCCTGTGTCCTGTGGGCCTGGGCCTGGCAGCAGCTCTGGGAGGGGGCGGTCGTCCCTCCTCAGGGGCAGGGAGGTGAAAGGAGCCACATGCCGCAGAGCAGGGCCACCGTGGGCACCAGCAGGGGCACCGGGCACAGAGCCCTGCTATTCTCACCGCCTGAAACCCTCCCTCAGAAACTTTTTTCCCTCTCTTTCTTTTTCCCTTTGGTTTCCGGCTTGGCTCAAAACTAGATGCATCTACCTGATGGGAGAGCCCAGCCAAGGTCCCCCGAGTCAAGGTAGGACAAGGGGCCACTTGGCGGGATTGGGGAGACTGGGGGTTTCCCTGGGTTGTTTGTCACTGTGTATTTCTAACTCAAGTCGGCTTCTCCCAAGTAAGTGTATGGGGACAGTAGCAACAGTGCTGTATTTGGGCACCATGAGGGTGAGACAGGATCACTGTGTACCTGACCATAACAGGCACTCGAAGGTAGAGCACCTGCCAGGTATGTGGGAGGCCCTGGGTTTCATCCCCAGCACCTAAAAAAAAAATCAAAATTAAAATGAGAGCACTCAATAATTGTTAGCTATCAACATTATCATTTTAGAAAAGGAAACCCTGAGACTCCAAGCTGGGCACGGTGGCACATGCCTGTAATCCCAGCATTCTGGGTGACTGAGGCAGGAGAATCACAAATTCAAGCCCAATTTGGGCAACTTAGTGACTTGGTAAAAACTTGTCTCTTAAAAAAATGAAAGCCTTGGGTTCAATCCCTGGTATGAAAGGCGGAGGGAGGGAGGGAAGGGAGGAGAAGAGAGGAAACGGAGGCTCGGAGAGCTTAAGCAGCAGTGTTAGGACTGATTTCAAAGCCCACGTTCTGTCCAGCATTCATCCCTTCGCTTACTCAAGTTTGTTGGATGCCTCCTGTTGCCTGAAGCAGTGCCCACTGGGCCTGCTCTCTCACGCATGAGCATGGCAAATAATTAAAGTGAAGGCAGAACCTGAACTGCTGAAACGCACGGCCCAGGGGCTGCCCCAAGGGACACGAGACACACTTGTCTCTCAGAGACAACTCCCAGGGGGCTGTGCTCCAGCCGACCCCGGAAGGGCAGTGAGCCACGGGTGGGAGAACCCTGGTTCCTAAAGGCCTGGAGGGAAGGAGGATGCGTTTGTTGGCATCTCTTGCGTGACTTTTAAGAGAGCCCTTCCCCACTCAGCGTGGCTCTCCACCTGAAAGAAAGCATGGGCCGCAGAGGGGGGCCTGAATGCATGAAATGTGTTCCCTGGGGTGTTTGGTCTGGGATGACTGTCCCCTTTCTCACTGTGAGTGTCCTCTCCTCCCGGCCCTCCCCTAAACAGTGGCCAGCCCAAAGGAGTGTTTGGGGAGCAGTTCGATGCCAAGAACAAGCTGACGTGCCCCATCTGCCTGAAGGAGTTCAAGAGCCTGCCGGCCCTCAATGGCCACATGCGGTCCCACGGGGGAATGAGGGCCTCCCCCAGCCTCAAACAGGTTAGCAGGCACTACCCCCCATCCTTCCCAGGCCACGTGCTGCTTGCTTTGCTTTGCCGCCATCAGGCATGGGTGACACAGAGGGACGTGAGACCGGAGAGCCTAAGCTAGGACACTGGGAGAAGCCAGGCCTGATGCCCCCTCTTCCCTGGCCTTGTGGGAAACGGGTGCTAGAAATCCTTTTAGGGGACTCCAGTCTACCTCCTAGAGACAGCCAATGAAAACATGTAAATGCAGTACTCTTTTTAATTTGTGCTGCTCAAAATCCTCAAGGCCATGGTCCTTGGACCTTCAGAAGTTAGTGACCAAGGAAAGCACAAGTAACTGTCAGACTCTCGGCCAGAATCTTCCTCTCACTATTGTGGGGGTGTTCGGTTCCAGCATCGTGTCCCTTAATCAGGCTGGGTTATCCAGGGTGGCTGTCCAGGTAGCAAACCGTCCATGAGTTTTTGAGTTAGATTAAAATTCTCAGAATTCTTTGCACATTGTTGATCCTAATCTAAGTCTAAAGGGTTAACTCTATCAACCGATATCTTGGATTACCCAGACCTCTACCTCTTGGCCATGCCAGATTGAAGAGCTTTATCTTCTTTTAAAACAAACATAACATGGCCGGGCCTGGTGGTGCTCGCCTATAATCCCAGCACCCAGGAGGTTGAGGCAGGAGGATCGCTGTGAGTTCAAAACCAGCCTGGGCTACATAGTGAGTTCCAGGTCAGTCTCAACTACATAGTGAGACCCTGTCTCAAACCCAACCCCTCCCCCAAAAACACAAAAAACATGTTTTACATTTTTTTTTTTCTTTTTGGGTATCGGGGATTGAACTCGGGTCCTTGCGCTTGCAAGGCAGGCCACCAAACTGCTGAGCTAAATCCCCGGCCCTGTTTTGCATTTTCAATGTGGTCTCCCAACCTGGATAAAATTGAGGATAGAAGCTAGGGATGGTAGTGTACACTAGTAATATCAGCACTCTGAGAGGCTGAGGCAGGAGGATTGCAAACTGGAGCCTAGCCTGGAGAATGAGTGACTTAATGAGACCCTGTCTCAAAATTTTAAAAAATTTAAAAGGCTGGGGATGTAGCTCAGTGCAAAGCCCTGGGTTCAATCCCAGTACCAGAAAAAAAAAATTAGAATGGAATGCCTAATTCCATTTGATGCATGTGTGAACTAAGGCCCACAGAATTAGACAGGTCCTACATAAGATCACACACTTGGTTTTGGCAGACTACAAGTCCATATCCTTTTCTTTAAAAACATTGACAAATCTCCAGATTTTAAAAATATTTTAATATGTAAGTGATACGTGGTCAAGATGCTTTCAGTAAGGAAACAGGACACACGGCTTTGTCTACAACCCATCAGCACTACACAGGGTGGGGAACCCAGGTTACAGGAAGGGTGTCACCGGCAGTGGTTCTCTGTCACCCACACCTGATGTCCTGGAACCTTTCAGGAAAAGCAAACTGCATCTCCCTTGGGAGAGCTGTGCTTAGCCCAGGGTCAAAGCTTTTATTGTCTGTGTAGGAGGAAGGAGAGAAGGCCCCGCCACCTCAGCCTCAGCCCCAGCAGCCACTGCCGCCTCCGCCTCCACCTCCGCCTCCGCCTCCTCCGCAGCTCCCTCCCGAGGCAGAAAGCCTCACGCCTATGGTCATGCCCGTGTCTGTCCCTGTCAAGCTTCTCCCGCCCAAGCCCAGCTCTCAGGGGTTCACCAACAGCGTTGCTGCCGCCCCCTCCACCAGAGACAAGCCAGCCAGCTCCGTGTCGGACGACGAGATGCCTGTGCTCGTGAGGATGACCCTCTCTCCCCCACACTCCCCCCAAGGGGCTGCCCCCCGTGCTCCCGCTGTGAGTCGCTGCTCTGCCCCCTGCCTCGGGTGGGGACATCCCTTTGCTTTTTCAGAGATAGGACAGTTCTTCCAGAGTCACTGGCCTGAGCTCAGACATGGCTAAGCCCCCTGGCCACCTGCCCACTGCCTGCTACATGCTGATTACTCGGCTTGTATTCTGGACACCTCCAGGTGTCCCCAGGTTAGGACAGATGATAGCTCAGCCAGCTGTCCCTGATTCGGCCATACCAGTTATTTAGATGTGGAAGTACTTCTACTCCAGACATGAAGAGCCATGGCCCGGGGTTCCCTAGGACCTCCAGGCCTCCTCAAACATGGCCATCAAAGAGGTCACCCTGGCAAAGTGATCTGTTTATCATTCACGGTTAAATTCTTCTTTGTTTCCTAATCCCCTGCCTCACCCTCTCTCCCCTTCCCTGGGGAATCTGTACCTGCTTGGTGGGCTGTGTCAGCACACACCCCACCCCAGGCACTCAAGATTGTAAGAGAAAGATGAGAGCAGAGGAGAGAGAACCTAGAAAGAACCAGGTGGGACAGACAGCCCAGCTGCTCCCCACTCCAGCCTCACTTTCCAACCTTTTCCTGAGGCCTGGACTCCTTTGTGGTGGGCTCTGTAAAGCCTTCAACTCCTGGCCTAGCCCCAGAGTCTAGCTGCCTCCTGGGGCGACACTGTGATGCCACCTGTCCCGTGGGCATTCGGAGTGGTGCCTGGCCAGGTGGCTCAAAGCCTTGCCAGCAGGATCACACAGTCTGGTGTGGAGCTGGAGGAACAGGACTGAGGGCACAGGAGGGAGAGCCCAGAGGGGCTATGGCCCCTGGACTTAGCAGTCAGGTTTGCAGGGCAGTTAGGATCCTGTGAGTCACCTGTGTCTAGATGGCCATCAGGGACCTGGAGCTGCTTAAATTTAAGGGTTGCACCCTGCAGGAGGTCACCTCCTTCCCTCCTCTCGGCCTTTCTCCCCACACCTCAGCCCCTCCTCACCTCGGCCCCCCCA